GCTATAAAACGAATTAAATACATACTATCACTCCCTATGTTTGCGCCTCTTTATAAGATAGTACATTGGTTTTTTTATTTCGGTCACCCAATTATTTGATCAAACCATTATTCATCTTGTGATTAGCTAATAATAATAATATGTATTCGGTGAAGTAACCTCCCTTATCTTAGTTTCTTAATATATATGTTTAAAAAAAATATTTAGTTATACAAACCAACAACTCGGTGGCAGCAATCTATAAATTTGGCAAAAACATATTACTCAATTATTCATAATTCGATATAAATTCTACAAAAGTAAGAAAATAATGAGTTTCTTAGAGCTGGATTGATATCCAACTTTTACTCATTCAACTCAACATATTAGTTGTCCGATCGGCTCAATGATGATTTCTTGATAACGTGTAACTAATATATAATAGATTATTAAGAAGAATATTTTTGAGTGTATTGTGAAGCTAGTATCACAATTTTAAAATCATATAGTGTTATGTTATTTAATAATGGAATTTATGAGGAATTAATTAAAGTCTTGGCGTCGAGGATTGTGTGTGAGTGAGAGAGAGAATTGCTTGGCCGCCAAAAGAAGCCATTACTTGCCAACTAGCTAGCTTCACTACTCACCCAAAGCAAAGCATATACCTTTTTAATCATCATCAACATTGTCAATATTATCAATAATATATTGGAATATTTCTAATAAATTCATCATCATCATAACAAAATCCTTTTTGCAAGACTTTTCAGTAACCGTTAAGTAGTAGTAGTTGCAAGTCTAGGGGCTAGGGTGGAGGATATCATTATCTACACATCATCTAAAACAAATTTATTACCAATACCATTTTGGAAATGAATGACATCGTTTTTGTTTATGACGGTTTTTATTCAAGTCATTTTCTAAAAATTTGGACAAGAACTTAATGTTAAATCTTGTAAGAATTTTGAAAAATTTCTCCATATTCATACTTATGATTTAGGTTTCGGATGGTGATCTTACAGTACAAGACTAACAATTTATAGATTTGTTATTGTTCAATGCGAGACAAACCATCCCATTCAAAATCTTTTCTTCTTTTTTTTTGGTCGAAATCCCATTCAAAATCTCGGTTTCATTTTATATCAAACAAATATCGTAGTTGTGGGTGACAGAAATAAAAATAAAATCATGCAAGCGAGAGACGTCATCATATTCTTATGTACTTAATTACTCCACCTTTTTATGACAAGAAGTAACTGTATACCAATTAAATACTCATAATATTTAGAAACGATATTGGTAAATCGCATTTCGATCAAAAAGATATCTTGATAAGCCCATTAGGTAGAACCGTTATCTCTTAATTGCATCAATCATGTAATTAACTAATTTTGCATAGTGACGTAATTCGATAGTGCCCCATTTTGATGGTGAAGGTGGTGCATTGTGAATTTGTGATTGGTGGATAAAATGATTTTAATTGGTTAAATCAGTTCACCACCACCACACCTGAATGATTTGACATCAATAAAAATAAAGACAAAAAAAATATAATGCGCCACTACCATTTTTGGATAAATATTTCATGAGGAGAATTAAATAAAAAATAATGCCACAATAAGTTAAATTTTTCTATTTATATAACCCCGAATCATAAACTGTTGGATAATCCGAATGAGAGATTTTCGAAAAGTAAATAAAAGACATGAATACTAAAGCTTTCTCGCTTCTATTGCTTGTGGTAATGACGGTCGTGGCTACGACTATTGGACCACCGGAGGAGGTGGCTACGGTGGGAGGAGGACGGAGAAGCTTGACGACGGAGAAGATAGCCGGAGAAGACGTTGAGGCCGATGTGAATAACCACCATAGCATTCCAAGGGAGTCATGGGATGATAATGATAATAATCCATGATCCATACTTATTATATCTTAATAACATTATGTATGCTCTTTTACTTCTCTTGAATCAAAAGGTAATCATCCTTGTTCCGTTCCATTGTTACTAGCTATTCAAATCCTATGTCGCTCATTCGTATAGAAATTGAACCAAATTAAAATGAAAGAGGTCAATTGAACCTATCATCAAATTGAAAACACTGATTTAGAACCATAGTTCGTATATGATTCTTGTTGACAAAAAAAAAGTTGGTATAATTCTCTATCTCACTCTTATATAAAATCTCTAACCTAGAAAAAGGCTTTTGTTTAGAAGAATCATACAAAACTTTATTCTCCAAGCTTCAAAACTCTCAAGAAGATTGAGACAAGCAACAAAAAGTGTGAATACCTACCGGTTTTGATTTAAAGCTCGGTGTATGATTCAGTCCGAGATCTTTGCTTTAGGTTCTACATCGTCTCCATTTGATTATACAGATGCAGCCGTCTCACCGCCTTCATTGTAGTTGATCCGCAAACCATTAATACCATTGAGTGCGGTTTCATAGTTTGCATTGTCACCCCTGCCACTGAATAATGGTTCACGACTACCAGAGTCCACAACTCGTCTTGATGAATACCCGACTACCATCCAGTCAAACTTAAAATCATACTGAAAACCTTGACGAATAAAAAGGTCGCGGAATAGTCTCTTCAAATATGCATAGTCTGGCTTATCATCAAACCTAAGCGAGCGGCAATAATGAAAGTAGGATGCAAACTCTACTGGATAACCTTTGCATAAGGCTTCGATGGAAGTAGAAACCTTCACTTCCCTAATCCTAGTGTATTTCTGTTTCTTGTTCTTCTCAGCTTTCAGCCCCTGCCATGGAAGACTTCCCTTGAGGAAGTACATGAAGATATAACCTAGCGATTCCATATCATCCCTTCGACTTTGCTCGATACCTAGGTGCGTGTTAAAGCTAACATAAAGCGGAGTCCCAATTAGACATTTATTGTCCCTGTATTCGACATGTTTGTAGGTCAAGCTGTCTCTATATTTCTTAGCCAAGCCAAAGTCTATGAGGTAGAGCTGATTTGCCCGACTTCCTACACCCATGAGTAAATTACCTGGCTTTAAATCGCGATGAACATACGACTTCGAATGGATAAACTCGAGTCGGTTTATCATCTGATCAGCTAACATAAGAACTGTCTTCAAGGTAAATTTCTTGTTGCAAAAGCTAAACAGATCTTCAAGGCTTGGACCAAGCAAATCCATTACCAAAACATTGTAGCAGTCCCCTTCGATACCATACCATCTCATGTTTGGTATACCAGTTCCACCTTGAAGAATCCTATATATCTTCGACTCATACGACAATTGCGGACGCCGAGTTTTCGCATTTTCGAGCTTTATAGCGACCTCTTCGTTAGTCTGAACATCAGTTCCGAGGTAAATCTCTCCGAATGAGCCACTACTGATTTTCCGGCCAAGTCTGTACTTATTCCCAAGACGACGTTCCATCGACAATCAACACCGCCGATTGTAAGAAACTAAAAACCCTAACTATCTTAATATATATAAGGTATAATGGTCCCTCCAATTTACTTTGATTAGCAATAAGAATCAGCACTACAATAAATAAAACGGAAACAAAATCTACTGACCGACTTAAAGATTTCTTTTTTTTATAGAAGTTATAACAAAAGGGAAAAAGATATATAAATAATTGCAACGATTAGTGAAAATGGAAAGAATATTTATTACTTGATTTTTTTTGTATTTCTTTCTAAGAAGTGATCATAGGATCTTCTAATCTTTCTCGTTCCTCCACTGCTTCATGTAATCTCTTCCACCTAATTTGGCGTTGTTCTTCAACTTCTTTCGATTTGGCTAGTTTCTCTTCGTACTGTTGTAGGCATTCTTCAAAGAGCTCAGGGTCCATCTCCATGAACATTCTCTGTATATTCGAGCTTAGCCCGTGAACCGCTTGGTTCCAGTGAGATTCTATGTTTTTCTCCAGGGAAGAGAATATGATTGGAAGGATTACGCCTCGGTTCTGAGCGATTAGACCCACGACGTGCTCGTTGTTCCACAAGAACAGAGATCGTTCTGCAACCTGCATTGCATGGTGGTTTATGTATGTGAGTATGACACATGTAAGTTTGAGCTTAGAGAAAATATCAAATCATGGTGTAACTATTTGTGAAATGAGAATTTCATGAAACATGAACAAAGCAAATGCAACGGTTTCAATAAAATTCGAAGGAATTAGTTGTCTTCCAGAACTGAATCAAGACGAGTGAAGCTATAGGTAAATGTAAGAATCAAAGAATTCATTTTGCAGATTGTAACAGCAACTGCATAAGATAACACCCATCAACAGAGATGCACCATGATCAAAATGATTTTGTAGAAGAAACATGAGATAAATAGGAGAAAGAAGCAAGCAGAACTAGAGAATAATCTGAATCATAAGTCTCACAAAGCACATAAATTGCATTGTAATAGGCAACTTTGCCTCCATATGCAAGATTGACACATAACATAGATCTTTGGCAGAAGAAGCTCCACAACAAATTAAAAAGATTGATACACATAAAATCTTCAATGAACATGATATAAAAGAGAAACCAACCCATAAGAGATTACTAACCTGAAAATGGGAGCTATTGAGGCAACGAGCAATCTGTTGGAACAGAGAGACCATACAGCGTTGGAACTCAACAGGTTGTGTTGCCTCAAGAACCTCTTCAAGTTCATTAAGGAAGAGAACCTCTTTTGTACAGTTTGTCACAGGCCAATACTTTAACAATCCCCTGATTACTGTATCCGCAAGCTTATAATCTTTCTCCACAAACTGAACAATGCAGTAAGACAATTGTTGATGATACATAGCAATCGGTTTCGGCTTATGCAGCGGTATCAACGCCCTGATCAAAAAGAGCTTATGCTCCTCTTTCATTGGCAATGCAAACCCATTTATAATACTACCAAGAATCTCCAAAAGCTCCCCAATTCCGCTATGTCTCTCTGTCTCGTAAATAAACCTATAGAATATATGGTTGATTCCTTTCCTAATAAAGGGTCTGTGTACCATAAACTTCCCATAAATCCTATGAAGAATCGTTTTCAAGTACTCTCTTTCTCTAGGGTCTTCAGTCTCAAACAATTCAAGTAACCTCAAGACAAAAGAATGGTCAATATACCGTTTCGCAACCTTTGTATCTGTATCAGAAGGAACAATATATCTCAACAAAAGCTCATAAACTAGCTGCAAATGAGGCCAAGATGGTTCCAAATAAGGCTCTTCTTCTTCAGGATCAGCAGGCTCTTGACCTGTATTCTCGTGCGACGCCGGAGGAAGACACCGGAATATATTCACAGCTATCATCTTCACCATTTCTCCCTGACAAGTTTCATTGATCTTCCCAGGTCCAGACTGTATAAAATCAACCAGCTCCAGTAATGTCTGCCTCTTAATCTCCTTCTCTCTAGCATTCTTCAACGTATCTGTAAAATCAAACTGGAAACAACAAATCTGCAATTTCCTCAGGAACAAAGCTTGACGATCGGAAACAGGCACGTCTCTGAACAATGGGAGAGGCTCGACTGTATACATAGGAGGAGGTTGTGTGGAACCAGGAGATAAAGGAACCGCTGAGCCACGAGATGCGTGATTCACAACCATGTTAGAACCAAGACCTGACCTACCTGGTGGATCAAACCCAAACATAGACGGATCATTCGATTCATTTCTAGAGAGCTTTCGGCTCCCACCTTTCATGATTTTCTTAAACATGGCTCAAATGAACCCTAAAAGCTTCCTTCTCGATTCTCCCCTAAATATAAACCCTAAAAGCTTCCTCTCGATTCAGAGGAAGAGAACTCGAATGAGATCAACAATGATGGAACGAAAGATGAATTGAATCTGTGAGATTCAAATCAAATGCTTTCCAACAAAAACCTTCTACTACGCTTGTGAGATCTGAGGAGGTGAAAATCAGACCGTTGGATTGATCGGAGAGATCTTCGGAGAAATGACCGGATTTTTGGACAGCGATTTTTTCCCGGCGAGCGAGAGAGAAGAAGACAGAGAGGATCTTCAAATTAAAATCAAAACAGGAAATGGAAAGTTAAGGTAACGATAATTAAAAAAATTTTGTTTTGTTATTATTCAAAAATCGAAATCTCTCTCTGTTCGAAGACAACCAAGAGACAATGATAGTATTATAAAGTTTTAAATAATTTTGAATTTTGTTTGTTATTATCCTTTTGAAAATCGCATTCTTTTTTATTTATGATTTTATCCTAAACGTTAGCGTAAATGTGATGGCTTTGTGCACGTGGCTTGCGAGTGAAGTGCTCGCAACTTTAAACAACATTGGTCTATTTATGAAATAATCACTTGTAATTATGCAAAAGATGCTTGATTGATTCAAATAAACAAAAAGATTATGCAAATTTAATTAACATGACAATGACGAGTGGTTCTCGTTAGATTTCGATGATGAAATCTTTCAAATTATATAGATTCCACATTCTTTACTCAGGAGAATAATAAGTAACCTTTGAAGAAAACGAAGGGGTATATAACAAGAAGACATGATTTTGCTGAGGAAATCGAAATCTCCCCCACAAGCAAAAACCTATAAGAAATTATCTTTTACATTTTGAACGGAGAATTACCATAAGCTTATAACGTATATTATTATCAATCACAAGAGGTAATTTCTTATCCAAAACATATCCACAGAACAACAAAAGCTTTATATAAAGAAGGACTCAGCTTCATCAATCCTGTTTAACTCCACTAGTCTCCTCCGCAACAACGGTTTTAGCTATTGTTTCTGTACCTTCAGTTCCAGTTTCCGCAGCCACCTGGTAAACAAAATGTTAGACAAAGAGATTCAGATGCAGCCACGTATAAGACCGAAAACTCGGAAATCAGATAACAAACCGAATACTGAGATATGGTCATGTACTCATGTAGTTCCACAGAAGCTAATGGATCATGGCTTATAGTTGAATTGGAATATTAACATCAAACATAGATTGAAGCATCATCAATCAAAGCATCCCATCGACTAAGAAAAGACTCAACGAAGAATGAAGAGCCCCTAAATCATTTGACTTACTTTGGTGGTGTTGTCGTTTTTAGCAATTGGCTTGAAAGGACAAGCTGGAGGAGCTCTCGCTGGCTTCCTGTACTCCCATCCGAGCCACGCGTAAACTTTGGCCTAGTTTTTACAAAACTCAATAAATCAACAGATGATCAGAAGAACATATCTAACACTGAAACTACCAGCAAGATTCACTAAACCATAACCTGTACAGACTATTTCTTTCTTAAAATACAGTAAAGATAATCGGTACTTACAGAAAAAAAAAAATCGGTATGAAACACTAACAGAGCTAAGATTTTAAACATTGCTAAACATTTTCAACTTTCCAAGAGTCCAGACCTCAAGCAGATAACAAAAGCTACAGATCCTTATTTTCCTCTTTCATGTATGCCTGATCTTCTTCCTCATTTAATTTTATCATTTTCCTTTTCAAGTAAAAACCATTTCCTTTAAGACCAACCGAATACAACACTCAAGCATCCTAGTTAGATCCAAAATCATGATTCATGACTTTTTAATACACAATGAATCTGATCATTCTTCTCAACAATATTCCGACGGAAAAATAAAACTTCAGAGAAATCACGCGCCAATTACCATTAAGAAATCGATGATCCGAGGAAGTAAATTGATGAGCGGGACGAGAAACAACGGCACCAAACACATAACGCAAACCTGTGGAATTCATAGATTCAAACAATCCGAAATCGACAAACCAAAACTAGATCCAATAAAGAAAAAAGAACGAGCGAATAGAACGAATCTTACCATATTGAAATTAGGGTTCTGGATTCAGGAATTGGGAATTTTTCGCCAAAAGATGAATCGCCACTAAAAATCAGAGAGATCAAAATATGATTGTGCTTCTTCACCGAAGTCGTCGCTTCGCTTTGTCACATTAAAATAAACGGCGTTAAAAAACAAACGTCTCTCTCTAACGGAGCGTTACCCAAAAATCACTTTTATAGTGACGTGACTTTGACGGCCCAATAAACAGGTAATACCGAAAAGGCCCTTTTAATATTGTGACTAGCAAAAGAGAGTAACATGAACGTTTGTGTTTCCATGTAAACAAGCATATTGGCAAAAGAGATTATTTTTATGAATAATCTTTTAACTTTTTAATACATGACAATGTGGAGATCAATTAGGTTCTCAATGGTTCAAGTAGGGGATTAGGCGCAATCGCCTTTGCAAGGAACTTCTGCGCAGCGGCAAACCGGTTTACCAGAAGCTTCCCAACCGTTGAAGCCGCGTTCCAAGATCATGATGTTTTTTATTCCACTATCTTGTTTCTTCTCATCAAGATAGTTCACGAGCCTTCTTGCACAAGTTGGACCTCGAACCTGCAATGAATTGGCTTTCAAGGCTTAGCAATCACTTCATTTACAAGTCACAAAAAGTATTGAATATATGTTTAGGACTGAACTTCATGATTTGGAGTGACAGTTAAAGGAATGTAATGGAAGTTCACTGTGACTCGTAAGCAATCATATAGCAAATCAGTTGCATGGTCATGTGATTTTTGCTACTTTAAATCCACATTCGACACATTAAGGTCATTTCAAGAGGAAAAATTGCAGAACAAGAGATTCAAATCCATATGAAAGGAACCTCAATTGATGCTACTTATAACATGAATCAACTAAATTGTACATAAATAAAATGAATTTTCCACCAAGACAAGACAAGTCCATCTTCACCCACTTGTGCAATGATAAAAAGCATCATTCAATCATAGCGAGTATTCCTTCACATAAACTCAAACAAAAAGAAAATAAGATATTGTGGGAATGTGAAAAGAGTGTAAAACACACCTGGCTCAAAGCACAATGAAAGACGAGTGTGTCTTTATCCTTCACATTTTGAACAAGGTGAGAGATCTTGTCATCGAACGAGCCACTCGCATAGTGTAGTGACCCAGCTATATGCCCATCATAATTCCTCTCTTCATCCCTGAAAACAAAAAAAGCACTCATACAATTACTCCAGTAGTATACATATCTTCATAAAAAGTCTGGATTTTTAACCATAACTCTATATCAGAATGCAGAACCTAGTTAAGAATTACAACAATCCGTTACTTTCTTCACTCCTCAGCCACCTAAACACAAAAGCTATGTTCCAAACTCATGAATTCAACAACATTTCAGTTTATTTGTAAAATTTCTCTAGTAGGATACATATCTTCATACAAAGTTTGGATTTTTAGCCATAACTCTGTATCAGAACCTAATTAAGAATTATAAAATCCCCTTTCTTTCTTCACTCACTTAACCACTAAAGCTTTGTTCCAAACAAGAAGAATGACTAATTACTAAACCAATTCAACAAAATTTCAGTTTCAGAGATTCCCCATTGATTGATAATCTGATCCCAGAATTCAAAAACAAAAGACCCTCCTAAAATCCATATCAGTACTACATGGTAGAGTAAAATCAAACCTAAGAAGAACAATCCGATTGATTCGACCTAATTTTTTTGCTAATAGATCAGATTAGTGACTCAAAACAGACGAATCAAATCGTGTATAGAAAGTACCTGACATCGATGATAGCGATATTGGGACGACGATGGAGAGGAAGAAGCTGAGTAGAGGTGATGTAAGAGATGCTTCTCTCCATTTTTTTCTTTTTAGCGAAAAACGAAAATATGCTTCTCATCATCTGTGTAAATTCCTCCTTTCTTCTCGGCGAACATTCTTTAAGCATTGCTTTGAAGTTTAAAGTTATTAATAATCATTAACTGACTATTAAACAAAAAGCGGGGATAGCTCAGTTGGGAGAGCGTCAGACTGAAGATCTGAAGGTCGCGTGTTCGATCCACGCTCACCGCATTTAAAATTTTTTTTTGTGGAAATTTTGAAACTCTCTAAGTGATTGAGCGGGTTTGTTCTTATCGATGGATAAATTTTTCTCCGATATCTCGAAAACTTTCGATCTTCTTCACCGGCTAAGTTTTTGATTTTGCTCTAATGCCTCTGCCTCACCACCGGCGTTACCCCGGGCCTTACCTACCAAATCCATTCAACGTATCT